ATATAAAATCCAGTTGATATATAATCGAAGTGAATCCTATTTATATAATATAAAAATATTAAAACTGATTCACAGAGAACTTAGTTTTATTCAAACAGACCATATAAATTATAAATAATAGGAATTAGAATTTCCTGGCTTTTAAAAATTTGTCTTAAACCAGTTTTATTTTGATTTTTTTTTTGTTAACCTGATGGATTTGAAAATCTTTTGTAATTTAATTTTAATTTAAAAGATGAAATGATAATCATGAATATTATGGAGTAATCCTAATTACTATTGTTTATAATACATATATATATATATATATATATATATATATATATATATATATATATATAGTAAAAAAAATATTCATATGATGCATTTCATCCTTTAGGTCTTCACTGGACTAAAGTGATGTTTATGCTGATGTGAGTACACATTCACATGAAAGAGAAAGGATGCTGAAATTTGAAACTTTTAAAATGAATTTTTTTTTTTCCTAAGTATGTGTTTTGGGTAGATAATCTAGACATTCCATTTAGTTTCTTTTTCTTTATATTTTTATTCCTTTTGATATTAAGTATCCCACATAGTGATAGAACATCTGCCAAGAAATTTGAAATATTCTAAAAACCTGGATGCTAATTTATTGTAGATGATCCAGAGATTAAAGCTTTTTCTATACCGTTTGACTCAGTAAATTGCCTTCTCTTTTAATTAGTCGCATTTTTTTTTTAAAATTAAATAGAAGACTGAACCATTCTGACAAGCCCAACAAATCAAAATATATTTTTCTACCTACCAACTCTATCAAAACTTCAATTGAAAAAAAAATATCTAAGCTTCACATAAAATTTATTAGAACTATTAAAACAATGAATACTTAATACAAACCAAACAATAAACTAAAACTTAAAGGAAGAATTTACTCTTATCACTTGTAATAATTATCACAAGGAATACATGGGAAAGACTTCAAATAATTTAAATAAATGATTATATGAACACAAAAAAGATCTTTTACAAAACAATACATTAGGTCACACCATAATGAATCTAACCAGAATTTCCATTTAATAAATGCTACCCTAATTAAAAGAAAGCAATTCATTAATATTAAGGTTTATAGAAAGTGCTTTAACTGCAAGATCATCCATAGTAAATTTGTATTCGGGTTCTTACATTTCATCTTTCTTCTCTTATTACAATGTTGGATACTTAATAGCAAAAGTAATAAAAAGAAAAAGAAAAAGAAACTAAATTTAATTGACTAAACTATATAACCAAACACTTATTTTAAAAAAAAAAAATTTAAAGATTAAAATTTCAGTGAGTGTCTCCTTACCTTTGTGTGCATTAGTTACATCAATGTAAATATCACTTTAGTCTGATGAAGTCCTGAAGGACAAAATGCATTACATGAAATTTTTTCCCACTTTATCATTGATTTTCCTTATATATATATATATATATATATATATATAGTTTTAAGGTGTGCTATATTTATGAGATAAAGTGCTCAATATCAGTGATAGAGCATATGTAAATATAAGTATAAAATATTATGTATATATATATCTTTATGATAAGATAAAGAACAAATATGAAACACTTATCAATCTAACATGTTTCAGTTTTATTAAGGCTTCATCAGGAAATATAAGAAATTGTGTTTGATTTTCATTGGTCAATCATGTTTCACATGCATTTGACACTTTTAAACAGACTCCAAGTGTACTCGAAAAAACTGTAACCATTGGTATATGTATGCTAGTTTATAAAAATTCTAGTTTGTCTTTGTGGGCATCAGAGGATAATATATATTCACAATTGTGATACATGATTGACCAATGAAAATCAAACAATGCAAAAGTAAAAATTCCAGAATTTTCTTCTTTTACTCCATATTTCAGTTTCTGATAAAGCTTTAATAAAAATTAAAGCATATTAGATTGATAAACATTTCCTGTTTGTTCTTTATCTTACCATCCTGTTGGATTCCAATCCATATTTGATCTTTATATAGTCCTAACTTGCAGATATATTGAGAGCATTATCATTGCAGTTTCCAGTCTAATATAGGAAATAAAAAGGCACATTGTATTCAGGGCACAAGCCATGGCAACTCTGAGATAGCAAGTTTCATGATGAAGACGTTGAATGACAGGTGGTTCTGTACAAATCCCGCAGATATACCCATGGTGATGCACACCAACTTCACATCATCAATAATGAACATAGGGGCATGACCAATGAGGGTCATTTCATGCCATCCTACTTCTCCCTACAGAGCTTCAGGGTCAGTGCTATTAAATGAGGGTGTGGCTCTACATGTTCCAACAGGAATATGGTGCATCCCATATAGTCAATGTGACACAGAAATGGTTGGCTGAGAATTTTCTTGATGATGTCATCAACCAAGATGTTATTTCTGATTTGAATTCCCTGGACCGCTTTGTCTGGAATCATTGAAAGCCTCCATCATGGATGTGATTGCCAATATGAATGCAAACCATCTGATCTGGTTATATGGTCACTTGTTGCATCAAGACTGTTCTCCAGGCTTATGAAGTTCATTGTATTGAACAGGGTCAGTGCAAAGATCTCATGGGTCCCCTGAATCTATGATATGCCCCACTCCAACCCTACTATATCTCACTTTTCATAAGGTTCTATTTATATAAAATACAAATGTTATTGTAACCTAATTATGTACAATAATATGGATCATATGCAATATTAGTGAACAATTCAATTAGAAAAACTGAAAATAAATACAATGTATGTAAATACAAATTAGATACATGTTATAATAGATCATTCCATCTTAAATAAATCAACAATGTTTTTGGCAATTTTTAACATCAACTTGAAATTTTTCTTGTTAAAGGCTGAATAAATTAACAAACACATTTATGGAAACAAATTTGAATTTTATATAAGCTTTTTTCAAGACCTATGCTTGAGCAAAACGAATTCACAGATTTGGACAAAAAAAAGATCCCAGAATAACATCAAAATGCACAAAAATTTTTCATCCTTTAATACTAGCCAGCTGTGCTTAGTTTAATTTGTAACATATATAAATGTAGGTAAGAAAAAGCAAATGTTAATAATATAGCAAGGGTCACAAAGCACTGCTCAGGGCCCCAAATCAGGATCCCCACCACCAGATGGGAGGTCTACCGCCAGTACGTGCTGAGCTTGGCATTGAATAAGCTTTTTCTGTTTCCAATTTTGCTTTTAAATATACTTATCTTTTCTATTGCATATCTTTGTTTTTCACTACATTATAATTTGTTCTCAATTACCTGATTTATACTGTATATATCTCTTTAGACGTGTAAATAAAGAATCACAATTTGGGAAAGTCCACTTTCAGCATCTGTAGCAATGAACATCAATTATTTGCCAGTTAATGAAATAGCAATATCAGAACAGATTTTTCTCTACAAAGATTATATTAATCATGGGAAAGAATTGCAAAAATTAATAGATTCTAAGCTTTCTATTTATCTTTAAAAAAATTACAATTATTAGCATCAATGTATTTTTTTCTGAACACCCGGTTTAATAAAAGTGTGTGAGCATTAATTTAACTGGTCCAGACATTACTTTGATTTATGCTGAAAATTTCTGTGATTTGAAGTTACTTTCTTCTCTTTCTTTTTATTTCTTTCACTTCTCTCTATATGTTTATATCAGTTCTTTTTATTATTTCACTTTTCCATTGCCTTTTTTCTTCAATCTATTTTCCTATTCACCTCTGCTTATCTGGTTTTGGTTTTACTTTTGCTATGTATACATTCTTCTCTTCTTTTTATTTTATTCTTCTTCCTGTCTTTCTTTTACTCTTTTCATCTTTAGTTTAGTTTTTCTCCTTTCACTTGGATCTTTGTTTTCCTCTTTTCCTTTTGTTTTCATTTTAAAAAGTCTTTGTCTTTACCCTTTTGTTTTTGTTTTCATCTTCTCTCTTTTTTATCCCTTTTCACTTTCTTTGTCTCCTTTCCCTTTTCACTTTCTTTGTCTCCTTTCCCTTTTCACTTTCTTTGTCTCCTTTCCCTTTTCACTTTCTTTGTCCCCTGTTCTTTTTCTATTCTATCTTTCCCTTTTATTTTTTCCTCCTGCTCATTTTGTCTTTCTTTTATGCTTGCCCTTTTTCTTTCTTTTTTCTCCTTTACTTTTTTCTTTCTTTTTGTAATTTTCTCTTTTTTCTTCTTTCCCCTTTGTCTTTTTTCCACCTGCTCTTTTTCTTTCTTTTCCTCCTGTTTCATTTGTTTTTTTTTCTGTCCTTTTTTTCTATCTTTCTTTCTTTTCCGCCTTTGTCTTTCTTTTCCTCCTCTTGTTCTTTTTGTCTTTCTTTTCCTCCTCTTGTTCTTTTTGTCTTTCTTTTCCTCCTCTTGTTCTTTTTGTCTTTCTTTTCCTCCTCTTGTTGTTTTTGTCTTTATTTTCCTCCTCTTGTTGTTTTTGTCTTTCTTTTCCTCCTCTTGTTGTTTTTGTCTTTCTTTTCCTCCTCTTGTTCTTTTTGTCTTTCTTTTCCTCCTCTTGTTCTTTTTGTCTTTCTTTTCCTCCTCTTGTTCTTTTTGTCTTTCTTTTCCATCTTTCTCTTTCATTTTTATTTTTCTCCTTTCTCTTTTGTCTTTCTTTTTCTCACTTACAGTGGATCTTTATTTTCCTCTTTTCTCTTTGTTCTCCTCTTTCCTTTTTGCTTTTGTTTTCTTCCTTTTCTGTTTTTTTTTTTTTTCCTTTCCCTTTTGGTTTTGTTTTGCTCTTTTCAATTTTGTCTTTCTACTTGCCTCTTCATTTCTTCTCTTCCTTTTTTCTTCTTTTCCATTTTTCACTCTTTTGTCTTTCTCCTTTCCCTTTTAATTTCTTCCTCTTCCTTTCTTTTTCCTTTTCATGTCATCTCCCCTCTTTCTTTTTCACCTATTTTTTTGTTCTTCACCTTTAAGTTCAATTTCTCGCTCTCTTCCCACTACCACCAACCAACGTTTTATTTTGCAAAATTTCATTAACATTCATCTCACTGATCCTTGTTTGTCAACTTTGTTTATTAATTGAAAATTCTTTAATCAGTGAAATTATCTGCTTATTCAATGACTGGTATCAGCTATATTTATATTTTGAATTTATTTTCTTTTATTTTTCTTCATCACAAATTCTATTTATCTGTGTTTTGTTCTTCTGGAGAAGAAAAAATATTCAATAAATTAAGTGTGTGGTTTTGATTAACACACTCTCTGACATTATTTAATATGCTTAAATGGATACCCCCTTGAAAATCTGCATCCCAAATGAATTAAGCAGATGGATTTAGGTTTACAGAAACAAACAAGGTGTTTGCATTATCATCATTTATCTAAGATAGAATCTAAATTAAATCTAGTGTGGCTCAAGGTTACGACACATTTATTCTAATTTCTTTCAATTATTGTCAAAGATGCTAAATTTATACAACTTTTTAAAATCTTTCTTTTATTATCATCAACATTTAAATCCAGAACTTCTGAGCAATCAATGTAATATTCCTTTTATGGTCTATGCCTGATATTTTAACACATGGCAATACATACCTTCACATAAAAAGTCTTTCTTTTCTTTTTATCAAGATTTTATTAATTTGTAGTGAGTCCTGATAAAAGTACAACATATAAACAAAAATAAAAGGAATTCAAATTAAAATAAGGCATTTGCACTTTCCTTTAAAACCCTTATCTCCTTTTTTGCTCTCTTTTACTAAACTTTTCTTTCTATACTTCTCTCAACCTATGAGAAAGCAACCCTCAAATAAAAAGAGGAAGAAGAAGAAAAGACTGAACCAAAAATCCAGAAATTTGCAGGAGCAGAGCTTACTTATATGTGATTGAAAAATACCAAAAATCAGGGAGGCTCTACACATAACTACTGTTATTAAAAACAATGAAAAAGAAAGGAATGCCAGAAAATAAAATAATTTGGCCCATCAAAAAGTTGACACAAAGAAACATTTGATGTTCATGCCAAATTCTGAAGCCTATTCAAAAGGATATAAAAACCTGACACCTTGAGCCCAGAAGCAGAGTGATAGGACCAGGAGAATGGCGCAACAAAACTACACAGCCATGTCTGACATGTGAAGAAGCAGTTAAGGGGTCATTGACTACTGACATTTCTACCGTTTCTGGGCCAAAAAGAACACAGTAGATTGACACTGACCTAATTTCTCATATTACTACTACCCCTACCATGATCTTACTTTGAAATGAACACTAACGGACATTTCTCCAGACTGCTACCAATGTCTGCCTGATTAACAAAACTTTTTCTTACACCAAATACCAAAAGACTCACTCATCCCTCTAAAGAAAATAAATAAAAATATACTATTTATTTTTAACCATCAAGTCAGCTTGTTTTATTTTCTGTGTTTCTGATAAAACTGTTCTGAGATTAACTTATATGTCACAAATAAAACCGTATGTTAAAATAATGTTTTTAGTTTCTTTGGTGTCCTAATATTAATATATCATAATTGAAATAATGCTGTAGAATGTGGAGACTGGGCAAGAATAGTCATCAGATCTCGTGGACATGATATTTTTATAGTGATGAATTGACTTTGTCTAAGTTTTGGATGTAAGTAAAAAATGGCATAAATTCAAGAGAGGACTGCAGCTGCAGGAAATTTGAAGCATCAGTACACTATCCACACCTTGATTTCATAGGCTAAGGATTCACATGAAGAGATACTAACCAATGAGCAAGCATGTGTTCCCTTGAAGTTCTTCCTCCTGCCACCTCCTAGAATTGATACTACCATGTCTGTCCCTGTCATATAATAAAACAAATAAAAAAAAGAAACAATCTTTTGTTGATACAGTTTAGGAAATGGTGTTGGGGACCAAGGAGCTGAATCCAGTGACGACATGGAACACAACACTAATATAATGTACTATTATTGGTAACAAACCTAATATACTATCTTTCATTGGATAACTATTTTGACATTATTTTTCATATCTTTTTTCTTACTATTGTTCCCCCCAATGCAAGGCCCAAGAGTCACATAAGGTAGAGGGTATTTAAATGAGGTTGTTTCAAGGCTATACAGTGAGGGAGTAAGTGATGCATATTATGATGATATCTAAGACTCTAAATGTAAATAATGACAACTTTGTATTCTGAAGGTTATCCAGATTGACCTGAAGAATACTGAAGGGTACAGGGGCTGAAACATTGTGATAATAACAACAAAGATGTGGACAAGAGTCTGAGTGTAAATAATGACAACTCCTCATCCCTTTCTATTCTGAAGTTTACTCAGATTGACCTGATACTTTCTCAACCTCTTCAAGCATCCTCTTGGGAGTTCATTTCACAAAGCAGCAGTTTTGAGAGAAAAGGTATCTAAGTGGAACTTCCTTGTCATCAATGGAATATGAAAGGAATGAGAATGAGTCAATTTAGTTTACGTAACCTGCTGGGTCTGAGATATGAAGGTCTAGATTAGTGGAACCAAAGATTGTAGTTCACGTGAATATCTACCATGAAAATAGTCATAGAGTAGTAAGAGGTGAACAGTGTTCCATCTGTAGGGAAGGGTTTGTAAGGTGGAAAACATTTCATCACCCACAAGGACATGTAAATGTGTTTGAACTCTGACAGAGATGGAAATTGAGAATTGGGCAGCTCCCACCTAGATGTGGCAGGCAGTACTCCATTTTTGTCTAATCTGAATCTTGTCCATGCATATATTGAATATAGAGATTAACAAAAATATTTTAATTTACACTATTTACATTTTTCCGACTCTTGTCCTCATCTTTATTAACATATTCACAATTTTTCAGCAGTAACCCCTTGCATGCTAGTGGCTTCCCGCCTTGCTTGGGGTAAAATGCTTAAAAAAAAAAAGAAAAGATGTACACTTCAGCCTTCTTCTGGTGGTATATGTTGGAATTTGGGTCAAGTCATTGGATTACTTCAACCAATGTTTTTATCCACATAGCCATGTGAATATGGCAACAAAAATGAGGACAACAGTCCAAACAATGTAAATAGTTGCAATACCTCATCTCAAAAATATGGAAAAAAATATTTTTGTTCATAAAATTGTTGAAAGCATAACATTAATTCACTTGTTTCTGCTCCATCACTTTTTTTCTCTGGTCAACTGAAATTCTTTGTATCTATCATTTTTTATAATGAGTCATAAAAGTACAAGTAACTGTTCTCTATTTCAATATAGTTACTTCATTTCCACTTCACAACCAGAGATCTGCTGATAAATATACCTGTCTCATTTAATATACTATTACTTTCATGTGGGCAAAGATAGCTAGGGAATTGTCTTTAGTGAGGTGACTCAGATCTGTGACAGAAGCCATTTTGATGGACTTCAGAACAGAATTTCCATAGATTATTTATAGATATTTAATGGCAGTGATTTGCCATTGTCTCAGACCTACTTGTTGCTATTATTTGCCACTGGATGAGCTAAGTGCTGAAAAGCTCTGTTTGACTAAGAAAGTATTAAAAAATATTTCTGATATTTGGAATGAGAATTTTTCAGAACTTCTTTCTGTTTTTTACATTATTTACACTCAGACAATTTTCTTCAATTTTTGTTGTTATTATCACAACATTTCAGCTGTTGTTCCCTCCAGTCTTCAGGTTGATCTGGGTAACCTCCAGAATAAAAGGAGTGAGAAGTTGTCATTATTTACTCTCAGACTCTTGTCCTCATCTTTGTTGTTATTATCACAACGTTTTGGCTGTTGTGTCCTCCTGTCTTCTTTTAGTTGATCTTGGTAACTTTCTGAATACAAAAAGTATTAATTCATCTCTCTGTGTCTGATTGGTGTAAATCTTTGAAGATTATAGGTGACAGAGAAGCAAAAAACTGGAAGAAAGTTCCAGAGATGAGATGGACAAGAAAAGAAACAATTAGAATAGAATTGTTATGGATTTGTTATGTCTGGTAAGACTTGTTATAGTCCGATTCCTTGTACCACGGTGATAGTCCAAGGTAGAACCAACAAAGAAGAACTCGAACACAGGTATGGAATAACACAGATATATTACAACAGGAATATATACAGAGAAGTAGAAGAGTTAGTATGAACAATCAGGTTTAGTAGAGAGAACAATGTAGTCTCAACCAGTATCAATATTCCAATGTCTTGCAGTAATGGTCTGAATGTGACTCTGTTTCGGACTGCCTCTGACTTGACTCTTGACTCGACTTGAACTACTGACTCCTTGCCTACTCCTGAGGTGCAGTATTTATTAAGTATGGAATAGTCCACTATTATTATTACGGGTAAGCTCCCCTAACAAGAATATATGGTTACATAAGACACAATGAAATGTGATGACAACAACAAAGATGAGAACAAGAGTTTGAGTGTAAATAATGTAAATAATGACAACTCCTAAACCTGAAGAAGAATGGAGGCTCAATGTCTGAAATGTGATAATAGCAACAAAGATGAGGATAAGACTCTGACAACTACTCAACACTTTATATTCTTCAAGGCTGAGTTGAACAATTAATGTTATAATTTCTTGCTCAGTGCTTCTTAAATAAACTTATTTTTTAAACTGGTGATTATACAATACTTTTTGTTCTTTTAAAAGGTTTAATTTTATATGTAAGTGAATTATAAATTCACTTAATTTTCTGTTTGAATTCTTTGCAAAGGCAATTCTTTTAATTCACTCATTTACAAATCAGTGTCAAAAATTTAAATCCTTAAATAAATACAAAGATTCTGTTTAATTAAAATATTAGATTTTATATTTATTTAATTCATACCTTAGTGCCTGATTTTCTTTTATTATTATGAATCAGACGTTACAGTGAAAAATATGAATAAAAAAATGTTTAATTGAATACCAGATTTTGTTAGCATTTGAAATAAAATAAAATTAAATTATATTAAAAAATAACAAAAAATTTTTTTGAATGATTTTATGGAAATATTTCCATATTAATTGAAAGATATAATTTGAATTAAGTGTAAATTAAGGTAAA